TGACATGGGATGGACACGGGACGGACACGGGATGGACACGGGATGGACATGAGACCAATGGGAGGGGTTTAAGGCCGGAATCAGCAGTAACAGCGTGTGGGTGACACGGGACGGACAGGGGACGGACACGGGACGGACGGGGACAGCCCCAGGGCCCGGGTGGTCCCCACGCCCCCTACGCCCGTGCCCCCTCTGCCAGGCGCGGTGCCAGGGCCAGCAGGAGCCGGCGGAGGTGCCGCGCCCCTTCCTGGGCCGCCGCCAGCACCTCCTCGTGCCCGGGGGGCGTGGCCTCGGCCGCCGGCCCCGCCCCACCACTGCCCTTCTCCTCCTCCTCCTCCTCGTCGGCGTCGCCCGGGGCCGCGTTGGTGATGAGGGACAGACCCAGCACGCGCAGGCCGCAGTGCCGCGCCGCCGCCGCCTCCGACACCGTGCTCATCCCTGCGGAACAACGGGGGGACAGCCAGGGAATGGGCGTGGTCAGCTTGGGGATGAGCGTGGTCAGCTTGGGGATGGGCGTGGTCAGCTTGGGGATGGGTGTGGACAGCTTGGGAATGGGCGTGGTCAGTTTGGGAATGGGCGTGGACAGCTTGGGAATGGGCGTGGTCATCTTGGGAATGGGTGTGGTCAGTTTGGGAATGGGCGTGGTCAGTTTGGGAATGGGGTGGACAGCTTGGGAATGGGTGTGGTCAGCCGGGGAATGGGCGTGGCCAGCTTGGGAATGGGGTGGACAGCTTGGGAATGGGGTGGACAGCTTGGGAATGGGTGTGGACAGCTTGGGAATGGGCATGGACAGCTTGGGAATGGGTGTGGCCAGCTTGGGAATGGGCGTGGACAGCTTGGGAATGGGTGTGGTCAGTTTGGGAATGGGCGTGGTCAGTTTGGGAATGGGGTGGACAGCTTGGGAATGGGTGTGGTCAGCCGGGGAATGGGCGTGGCCAGCTTGGGAATGGGGTGGACAGCTTGGGAATGGGGTGGACAGCTTGGGAATGGGGGTGGACAGCTTGGGAATGGGCCCGGGCAGCTCGGGAGTGGGTGCCCCCCCCCCCCCCCCCGCACATCCTTGGCACATCCAGCCCGTTTTGGGCCCATTTTGGGTCAGTTCTGGGCCCCCCCCGCGACTCACCGACGGCGTCGGCGCCGAGGCGCCGCAGGAGCCGACACTCGGCCCAGGTCTCGTAGCTGGGCCCCCCCACGCCCACGTAGACCCCCGGGCGGGCGTGGAGCTCGGGCGGGGCCAGGGCCAGCGCCAGGCGCCGCAGGGCGGGGTCATATCCGTCCGTCATGGCCGGGAAGCGCGGCCCGAACCTGCCGGGAACAGCCCGGGGAATGGGCGTGGTCAGCTTAGGAATGGGCATGGTCAACTTGGGAATGGGTGTGGT